TAGTTGGAAGGCTTCCATAGCCTTAGTTAGTGCTAGGAAGGATGAGTCTGACGCTCTTATGAGGACTGTTAGGTCATCTGCGAATAGCATCACTGTTGGAAGTTGGATCCGCTTATTGCGTCCGTCATCCAGGGTCTGTAGCCTTTCTATGGAGGGGTCTTTCCGCATAAAAGTGGTTATTGCTTCCATGACAAAGAGGAATATTGGAGCTGCTAGTGGATCTCCTTGCCTTACCGATCTCGTCATTCTGTACGAATCTGATAGATGGCCGTTGACTTGGACTCTCCCCCTTGCGTCCGCGTACAAGAGTCTCACCCAGCTCCTAAAAATTGTCCCCACTCCCATTTTCTCCATGCATTGCTGCAGGAAGTCCCAGTTGACTTAATCGTAGGCTTTTTCGAAGTCAAAGAAGAGGATAGCTGCTTGTAACTTCTTGTCTCTTATTAACTTGGTTGCTTCATTCAGACAGATTACGTTGTCCAGTATGAATCTTCCTGGGATGAATCCTGTTTGATCTAAATGGAAGCATTTATCAGTCACATTTCTTATTTTGTTGGCTAGGACCTTTGCTATTATTTTATAGGCTACTGTTAGTAAGGATATTGGCCTATAATTTCTTATGTCCTCCCTTTCCCCTTTCTTGTATAGTAGTGTTACTACTCCCGTGTTAATGTCTTCTCCTGATGTCCCTCTCTTATATGCTTCTTGGTAGAATCGCAGGAGATCCCTCCCTAGCATAGGCCAGTGTTCCTGCCAAAATTTTTTCGTTAGCCCGTCGATGCCTAGGACCTTATTTAGTTGCATGGAGTCGAGTGCTCCATGCACTTCTGCTAGTGAGAGGTCTTTGTCTAAGTATGTTGCTGCTTCTGGCTTGATACAAGTGTCAAGGTGTCTCAGGAACTTTTCCCTCACCCTGTTGATAGCTCCACTATTTTCTCCTGTTGATTGTGATGTATATAATTTTTTGTAGAAGTTCGTGGCTATTTGTAAGATTTCTTTCTGTTGGTTTTTTAGGGTTTCCCCTTCATCCCTCAGTTCTAGGACTATGTTGTTTCTGCAGTTGGATTTGATTCTTTGGAAAAAAAACTTTGTCATTGATTCGTTACTCTCCCAGTCCTTTATTCTTGCTCTGATGCTCAGGCCCCTCTTCCAGTCTGCCCATTGGGCCAGTTCCTCTTTTGCCGAAGAGAGTAAGTTTTCGTACATTGGAGA